GTCACACTAGCAAAATTCCGTTGCAACTTAGCTCGCACAAAAAAATGTTCAAGTTGCGTGCGTAAATTGAAAATGTACGATCACCTCACTTTCTGTCTGGTTTTCTTCTTCTGAAAATTATCGCTTTCGCCAAAGATGGCGTCGGGCATCTTTGTTGATTATTACAACATGTGACAGCAGGACAGATTCTCGCTTTCTTATGGGTTTGTGCGCCTAATTGAAAATTTTGGAAGTTGCAAGAGACCATGTCACACACGCGTTTTTCCGAAAAATGTTGAAAAAAGTAGAAGCCAGTTCTACTTTTCTCTCAACAAAAAAATGAAATGTTCAAGTTGCATGAGGGGGTGTCACACGTAAAAAAACGCTCGTGCAACTTCAACATTTTTTTGCGCGACACAAGTTGCACGAAAAAAACGCCAGTGTGACACGGCCTTTACTAACATATTCACCGGTATCATATGCAATATAACATGCTTACATTCTGTCGGATTACTTTATTAAGATTGAAGTGATTGCATTTCAGTAGATTATAGATTAATATATTTTACATATAGATAATACCCATGGATCATGGTTACTTTCTTGTGTACATTGTATTTCAATTGATATTAGTAACGTTCTGATACCGAATTCTGGTAGTATAGTACACTGCTTTCATAAAGCTTTCGATGCGAGGTAGGCAAGCAAATTTTCATTTCCAGATCTTTCTTCAGTAAAAAAGGACCCAATTTGGTGCCTAGCGGAACCACACCCTTTTGATCACCGCTGTGTTCTCTATATGAGATTGACAGACACCCCTAAACTTGAAGGCTGTAGGCCTGTAGTATAGATCATGTATCTCGATTTAAGCCGCGCAAGTAGTAATGGTATCATAATCACTAAATATATTTTAATGGAATATTTTTTTTTTATAATTTCTTCATCGCTATGAGGGTTCAAGATGATGAAGGGTGGGGACGAAGGATACTCCTAAACCTTTTTTTACGATTCKACAAGAAAAAAAAGTTGTGCTGCATTAAAGTGTTTCTTTTTAATTTCTCTATAGTAGCGCGGATCTGAGTTTAAGTCATTTGGGGCATTGCAAAACTTGCTTGGTCTTATAGCTATCAAGGTGAGAATTTCTTCATCTCTATAAAAGCCGATTTAGATGGTGCAACTTTTGCCTACAACCATTCGCATGCAACCCGCGTAAGTCGTCCTTTGAACTTGGCTACAACTGTCGTAGGGATTTAAAACAATTGCTTAATAGCCCTACGACAGTTGTAGCCAAGTTGTAAGGCCGACTTACGCGGGTTGCATGCGATGGTTGTAGGCAAAAGTTGTACCGTCTAAATCGGCCTTAATATATACTCATCACTGTTAGCGTTGACGTTCAATATCATTTATATCCTAGACTTTCATGCGGCAGTCCTTTGGCCATGAATACCAGCAACATTACCAACAGCTCAGCAATCTATGCGTTCGCGCCAGTAAACAAGAATATCAAAATAGCTATCGTATGTGTGTACGTCGTCACAGGAGTCTATGCACTTGTAGCTAACTCTCTCATCATGTATTTCACATCCAAGAGACCACCAGTCAGGATGCCATACAGTCGACAGCCCTTGGTTGACCGGTACATCCAGAGTCTTGCGCTATCAGATGTGCTGTGCTCGCTAATTAGCATTCCTATATTTACCACTGAGATGTTTGTTGATTTTGTCAACAATCCATTTGTTTGCAAAGCTGTTCGATATTTCCCTATGTACTTTCCTATTACAACAATTTGTAATTACATGCTCATCGGGATAGAAAGATATGTAGGAATATTTCATCCCTTTGTTCTGCCGAGTAGCGCGGTAGTCAAGAGGTTTGTCGGGGCGACCTGGATTGTAGCTGCATTTCTTGATCTAACGCCTGTCTTAGCATACAATCTAGTTCGTTATGACTTGGGAAAAAATCTGTACACAATTATCTGCAGGTATGACAACGCTGCCAAGCCCATGTACAGATACATTTTCTTGGCAGGCACATTAATTGCTTGGATTGTCCCATTGATTTTTCTAACGTTTAGTAGCCTAAGGATCTTGAAGTACCTGCGGCAAAGAAATTGCGTTAAAGAAGGCAACATTAACGGTGAAAATAGCCAACCAGTTGATCCACAAGTTGTGAAAGAAAAAAAGCAAAATCACAAAATCACTAGTCTTTTTGTGAATCTGATATTTGCTTTCATTGTTCCTTACACTCTGTTTGTTTTCTATACCTCTTTAAACTTGATCTTGAAGCCCAAGATCTCCTTCACAGCAGATTACATCATCCGCTATTTTAACGTTTATCTAAGTTATGCTAATGGAGCCATCGGTTCAACCATTTTAATCTATAACTCAGGTTTTTATCGAAGGCGTCTGGTTTCGTTATTTCGTTGGATTTTCTGCGCAAAAGATAACTAACTAGAATAGTGATGGATGCCATCAAATAGCCAAATGTGTGTTATTACACCATTTCTCCTGTCCTAGGTAGATTTTACTCTCTTTTAAGTTACTCCACTAGGTAGAGAAAATTCAACTCCCTCGGTAGAGTTATTGATCAACTCCCAGAAAATTACAATGTGTACTTTGAAGCCATATTTATTCGTTATGACGGGAAACATTAATCTAAAAACTATAATCGTGACGTTATATAGAAAAAAAGGAGGCAGCATGGACGAGTTGCATGGCCACTGGCGGTCACAGGTTCGATTCCCGGTCTAGCTACTAGCTGAGACTTGCAGTTGTTCCGGTTTCGACAAATTCATTTTCTCGACCATGCTTGTAAGGTCTTGTAATATAGTAAATTGGTTCACCTCCTTGCCAGTTGGGAATTGTAGATCTTTATGTTGATCATGATTTGTGTGAGGTTATTCGTGAATTATATTAAACCTCAGTTGTAGATTTGATTCAGTACTAAACCCATTATAGCTAAGAGGAGTAAGGGTTAGTATATTGTATCATTTCATTGTATTTCATCAGGGTTATCAGGGAATAAATAAAAAAGACTTGAAACTTAACACACAATGTTCTGTATTTTTGAACAAAAAAGGGATCATCGTTGTCGGGTGCGAATGTATTGCCGATATTAATTATGCGCATGCGCGGACAAGTTATACATTACTTATAATGTTAACTTGATATGAAAAGAAACTGCTTATGGGCAGTCTTTATTTTATCATATTTTAGGGATAAGCACCCCAAGGGTCGGGACATATTAGTTAAGAAAGAATTTGCAACTACTGATTGGATGAAAATTATGGCAACCAAGGATCGTGGACTTTTCGACAGAAGGCCATGCTAACGATCTCTGGTCGCATAGTTAAATCGTATAGCTTTTATAACTCCAGTCGAATAACAACTACAACTCGAACTGTTTAAGTCATAAGTCGAATCATAGTTTGTAGAAGGGAATGGTTTGGAAACTTTTTGTTGTACTTCTTTTGTTCCATATCTTTTATATGTATTTTGAATCTGAGTCAAGACATTGCACAACATTTTTTTCTATATACGGACTACGGAAATTGCAAATTAAATGAGTGAGCATAAACACTCTCTATAGCTTCCCGCTAACTAAAAACCCTATAGCATCCTGATTAACTACTCACACTGATTAGGCAAAGTTCTATAGAAACTATAACTATCGCAAGATTGTTCTTTTTTTCTGAGATTTTTTTCTGAGATTCATTTTATTGTAGAATGTTTTTGTGTTAAAAAACTCTACTCTACGATTCCAAGAAATAAGCCGGAATTTGCTGCCAAGCGGTCTATTATTTCGTAAAAAAGCGTGGTCCAGTACCGCACCACGTTAAGGGTCAAGTTAAGAGCACTTAAAACACGGTTTAAATTTGATAGAGCAGATAATAGTTTTTAACACCAATTTCGGTGAAATTTTGAAGCCTGCTTCCAGTGCGGCTCCGTCAAGCTACTATTCTGATTATATTGATTTAATAGTTTCAATAGTAAAAAAATCGCTTCATAATCACTTTTAAGAAGGGCTGGAAAAAGATATTTAACATACCAAAGATCATCAAAGCCAAGAAAAAAAAACAACATTCCCACTCATCAAACATTGCTCACATGGTCTAGTTCTCTAGTTCAAATTTGTTCGTTGTCTTCATCCATTAGTACGCGTGTAAAAAGGTTTGTCGCTAACTTCATTTATTGATTTGATACCCTCGTTATGACGGGATAGCGCTTTAATTATAGCACTCTAAAGAATGACTTAAAAATTGGTCGAAACAAAAAATAGGCGAATGAGTTGAAAGGAATTTCTTTGTTAAAGTTATTTGACAAGTTTTGACTGCAAGCACTGTTAATAAATGAAGATAAATTGAAACGACCATGGCCATGAAAAAAACTAGTCCATGTCAGACGAGTTTATAACCGTCCCAAAGTCATCAAACGTCCATGAAAGAGAGAAGGACAAACACATATAGATCAATGGCCAGGGACTAGAAGATTTAGAAATGTTGCTTCCCGCTTTCTCTCTTTTTTCGCCATTTTTGTTTTGTTTTTACCTGGTTTTTACGTAAAAAAAAGTTGCAGCATTCTTTTTGAAATTTTGATTCAGTTTGATGATAAATTTTATTTGATTAAAGTGTCGGAGTGTTGGAAAATAATGGAGAAAATATTAAAGCGGCTTGAAAATAAATTTATACTCCACTATCGAAATCTGGTCTTCATATTTTCCTCAGTAAAATTTAAGAGAAGATTGTACATACACAGAAAGGTGGGGCAAAACATGCAACTCGACTCTGGGCTAGCTCCCAGTCTATCTCAACTACCTCCAGCTATGCAACAAAATGGCGAGTCAACGAGGTGAACTATAAACTGATGAAAAACTCATTTGATTCCCGAATATTGTGGTAAAGACTACCTTCTTGATATTGCAATATGCAGAAAACTCCAGTACCACCACCTAGAGCCAAGCAAAAAGTAGTAAGTTGTGTAATAAAACTTACAAAAATATCCAACTTGTCTTGACAGCAGCGCTGGCTCGCTCACATGACAGACTTTCGCTTATTCAAAACATGCTGCATTACTTCCGTTTTGCTTCTCAGCTTGTTTGTCATGCTACTGAAAGCGCTTCAGTAGTTATCGGGGAGTAACTTCTGAAAAATCGGTATATAACAGGTCGAGATTTTAAAAGTCGGTTGTCCGAATGTTCTACCATAATCTGAACGATAGCAAGAATTGTACTGTGAGTATATTTGAGTTGATCGTTAGCAGATATGCCAAGGAATTTTGTAGATAATCTTGTTATATCGACCAAATCATTATTATTGTTTTAGTAGACAACATGTTGATTGTTTATATGTATAAGCTCAGTTTATGATAGCATGATTATTTTTTGAGTTCTAAAATTAGTTGTTTCTTCAATTTTGTTGTGGATCCTATTACAATCGAAAGTCTGTACAAAGAGAAAGATATGTTAATGTTTCTTACTTTCATTTGTGTAATTGCATAGTAAATTTACAATTTCTTGGTCATCGTTCCATATTTCACTATTGACTTGTAAACATTTCTTGCAATTAATTAACTTGCAATTAATTTCTTGCAATTAATTTAACTTTCCATTAATTTAAATCTATTATTGAAGCTTAATTAAGATAATTATAAGTCTTATTATTTGTTTTCAGGTTTTTAGTGGATGGTTGAGAAAGCAAGGAGGTCAATTTAAGAGTTTACGAACAAGATGGTTTGAAATTAAGGGGGATCAGTTATATTACTTCAGAGATAAAGCAGTGAGTTTTGAGCTGCAATTATTGACAAACTAAATTACTGTGTCATGTGTGTAACAACATTCAATTCAAATCCTGTGGGATTTGTCAAAGTCTGTGTAATCAAAATTACAGCTTGCAAACAACATGAAAGTTAATCCTGCATGTTAAGAAAATATCAAAGGCTTACTAATTATGTACAATCATGTACATGTAATAAAATAAATGATAAAATTAATCAATGCTACAAAATCTGTTTATTGATCTTTGTTATAACTACAGGATCCTAAGCCATTGGGTGTTGTYCCTCTTGCTGGGAATGAGGTTGTTAAGTATCCTCGAGAAGAAAATGATCCTGGGAAATTTAAATTTGAGATTAGAGGTGAGAAAATTGCACTTTGGGTAATATTGTATTAAGAAATTGTGTCATCATTAGATGTTATTGATCCAATCTGTTTGGTTCACTGTGATAAAATTATGTCAAAAATAAAATTTTTGACACTTTAAAAAGCTAGAGCAATCACTAGCTTTTTGTTTTTGTTGATCCTTCCTGGACTAGGGATGACCAAGGGCTTACTATAAAATATCAATAAGTTCAGGGTTTCTAATAAATCATTTTTTAAAGCATTTATAAACTGCTTAAGTTTAAAAAAAAATCATTTCTAGCTGGCAAAGATAGAGATGGTAGGCAAGTTATCGATGGTCATGATACCTTTGTACTGATTGCTTCAACAATTGAAGAGATGGACCAGTGGGTTGGTGTTATAAACCGCATTATATACCAGGTATTTTTGCATTAATATAATATGTATAGTTTAAAACATGAGAGAGTGTTTTATCAGGTATAAAGATTCGAGCTAAAGGCAAGAATCTTTATACCTAATAAAACACAATCTCGAGTGTTTTAAACGACTTCAAAAACTCCAACACTATTGTCATAAAAATAAATTTTGAGATATGTGGGGCAAACTGATCATGCGCGAATCACTTTACAAAGCACTCTTTTCATCCCACACTGAATACGCATAACGTAAAATAGAACCGATATTGGCTTGACATCCTGCATTGGTCGATGATCAGGTATCAAACCTGAGACCTTTGCTAGGGTCATGGATCTTTATATCTGATAAAGGTCACCCTTATTAGTATTCTTTATATAAAGAATACTAATAAGGAGTGTTTTATCAGATATAAAGGTGACCAAATAGGTTCATTCTATTGGCCTAATAACTCATTCATATTTTTACATCACGAAGAATGCTTTATTAAAATTACTGTCTCCAGTATATCATTATCCAACAAATTTTGAATAATGAGCTTGTAAAATAATCATTCTTTGTCTATAATTTAGCCGTTTGGTGGGGGAATGTTTGGTGGAGACTTGTCAGAAACAATTAGATTTGAAGCAAGGAAGGGTGGGGGATTTGTTCCAATTATCATGGATACATGCATCGAAAAAATACGACAGGATGGTAAGATTTTGTTTCTGAAACCAGAAAAYGTAAAATTATGTACATTTATAATTACTAGTAGATGCATTGATCAATAAAATAACCAAGGTGAATAGATCCTTCTAAAACATGCAAAGCAAGAAAAATTGGGATATTTCATAATATGTGCTGGTCTTTGCTAACAGGTTTAGATGAAGAAGGACTYTTTCGRCTGCCTGGTAACATGAAAATTACTGGGGAWTTAAAATCRGCATTCAACAAAGGTAAAAAAASCAGCTTCAAGAATTGAATAATTTATTCTTTTCCTGCCATGAAGCATGCATGGTTTCTCTTTTATTTCATAGGTGAAAATCCAGATATCAGTGACAGCGATATCCATACGGTTTCATCAKTACTCAAGATGTATTTAAGAGAGCTTCCAGAACCTCTTATACCTTATGACTTTTTTGAAGTTTTTCTCACATCTGCTAAGTGTAAGTAGATGACTTACAAAATACATAGTCATGACCTTAACGGTTTTTAAGTAGTGTGAGCTTCTTTAACACTTAAAAGTGGARATGGCCTGTGTTTATTCCATCTTAAGAGGTTATTTTAGTCTTCTCCATTATGGACTGTTTAGTGAGTGTAGGAAAGAGAGCCTCAGGCTTTACTTGTCGTTAACCTGGAAGGTGGTCAGACATCAAGAACATCTCATCAGTCAACTATTCTTGCCAGAGTAATTATAAGCCTCAGTAAACCAGCACATTTTTATGAAAATGTAGCCAACCTGTCTGTAGTCAAATGAATTATGACAATTAAACTCTTTATTTCAAGGCTATGAGATGTATGAAGAAGATGGAATCAAGTCAATTCAAAAACACCTCACACAACTACCAAAAGCCAACTTTAATCTTCTAAAAGTTTTATGGTAGGCATTAAACCACTTCACTTCCCTGTTAGAGGTCTGTCAAACATTTTGTATCAAGCACTACTCAGCATTTTTTTGGCGTTGTACATACAGCAATGTTGGAAGGTTCCTTCTCGTGATCTCCTTTGGCTTTGACTTTACATTTGGTAGAAATTATAGATATTCGATGAATATCCAAAATTTGGATTTCCTTTAGTAAACTGCAGATTCAGTTTGTGATCTTACCATTTTTTGCTTTCAGTCGTTTCCTGTTTGAAGTACAAGAGCATTCAGGAGTCAATAAAATGGACACACGTAACATTGCAATGGTTTTTGGACCTAATATTCTGCGGTCTGGTGTAAGTTAAGAAACAACT